AAGCCAGCAAAACATCCACGAAACAAAGAAAGGTCTGTCACAGCCAAAAAATACACTCCAGACACGCCGCTGGCACTAGAGGCACAGCATGGCCGCCTAGTGACGGCCCCGACCACTGCCGCTCGACCTGACCGGAAAAAACCGCAGCAGGAAGCTAGCGAAGTCGTAGCATATATATATATATATATATATGCAAGGAATATGAGTTGGAACGATATACAAAAAACCAAGTTGCGAAATCACACAGATATCCAGGTAGTCATGTACAAGCAGTCAGCACAAATGCACTGAGATCCCATCCAAATAAGAGCAATACAATGAAGTAACGAGCCAATGTTCAAGCCCTCAGGCCACACCAACACACAGTATCCAAAGTCGCTCCTCTCTGCCTGGCGCTAGGCGCCCAGCCTACACTACCTAAGTATCCGACCTACATCAGCATTCTCGCAATAGGCTCACTTCGACTCTCGTAGACCAATGTACATGACGTCAACACCATAGCCGACCTCTTCCATGTACCAGGCACATATCTCACTTCCCCTCATCAGACCCTGTCCACCCACACTCTGCCTCCTTCCTTAAGACCACCAATCGCCCTCTTACCCCCTAGCACCCTGCAGCCCAGCTGTTACATGCTGCGGTGCAATATGCTGCGCCTACAAACAAGGGCCATTTTCAGGCCCTGTGTCGTTTCAGCCTAAAACAGGGCCCTCCAGGCCCTGAGTCTTTTTAGCCTGAAACGGAGGGCCATTTTCAGGCCCTCATAAGATCGACCTGCCTTGAAACTTAGGCACCAGACCAGGGTTTTCGCACAGGACATTTTGGGTCTGTTTTTTCAAGACAACCTTTGTTTGAGCTTCAACGCCAGGGTCTGGCACATTTTGGCATTGGCAAGAGCAGCCTCCTGGACGGGCCAGCACTATATAAGACTGGCATGCCCTGCAGGGTGCAGGTAGGGACTTCCCAGCCACTTCGCGTGCAGGAGGCAGTCTTCAGGATTCGGCAGCAGCACTCTGGAGGAGCGCTGCAGTAGTAGTAGCGTTAGGAGTAGTCTTCAGCGTTGGGCGCTAGTAGGAGCTAGAGTAGCGTTGGGGAGAGAGAGATGGTTGGCGGAGGCTAGGGAGACTTACCTGTGGCGCCATAGCTCCAGCTTCGTCTTCGATGTACCTGCAACAAGGCGCCACCTTCACATGTTAGTTCCGGACTGAGAGAGAGAGAGAGAGTTCCTTCTTCTTCCTCTTCTAAGTCCACCATCTCTCCCTCACCCTCTCGCTACCTGACTTCTCAGTATCTGCAGACTACGAGAGGGAGAGAGATTGGTGACTTTGGGACTTGACGACATTTGGATTCAGACTCAACATTGGGGTTGAGACATTGAACTAGGGATTATTTGGGACCTGTACCGAAGACTTGGTGTTGACGACATTCCCATCTTCCCCCTCTTCTTCGTCTGATCCCCTCCTCTTCGTTTGTGCATGGTCCGGACCTGGAGCATTCTTCATGTGTGTGGCGCCAGGCCCTTCACACCTTGCAACGATGATGATGTATGTTGGGTCTGCATTGCGACATTGACTGGGTTGATCATTGGTGTCTTAGCATTCCGCTACGCTGTCTTGTACTATGTGAGGGAGGTCGGTCCTCGTTCTGGTTTGCACCATTACGGCATGCAACACTTTGGTATCTCCTCCTCCTCTCACATGGGTGACGTATAATGGGATGCCGTGTCAGTCCCGGTCAAGTCAGGACTTATATCTGAGTCTTCCACTACGCTACAAAAAGCCATAGGTATCAGGAAAAACACTGCTTGTCGAGATTCCACTACCACTGCATTGTCCATTCAGTCCTTTTTATCACAATTGCGGATCCTTGGTTGTACATACATTTGCAAGGAAGATGAGTAATAGCGAATTCCAGCAATCAAACAGCATCTACATATGAGTCCAGATAGTCTTGACCTCAAACCAACAGCAGAATTGCATCACGAGATACACCAAATAAGAACACACCAAGAGTTCATAATTGACAATGCTGAAGTAGTCCCATCATCATCAACGAAGAACCAAAGTTGATGTCCTATTGGCGCTCGGCGCCCAGACTACATGTGGCAGATCCTATCTAGCCTATACTAYGAAGCCGAAAGATGACATCAACAGCGTTCCCGAAGTACGAGCATATGGCGACCAATGTCGCACGCTTCAGCACCAGGTATGTCTCGCACTACACTCACAACCTTGTTCCCCAACTCACAGATGCCACTAGCACCCAACGACCACCCTRCGCTTCACCCATAATACAGCAGCGCAGCTCGGCTATGGCTGCGTGCTCCTTCCCTGCTCGCCCGTGAGAGCGTAGGCGCCAGCAAGCAAATAGCGCAGCAGCAGCGCTTGCGCAGCATGCAGCCAGCACCCGAATGCCGAATGAGGAGGCAGGACCTTCCCTATATCGAAGTGGCCTGCCTGCGTCCAGTCCAGGAAGCTTCCAGTAGGCCCCGGTCGCCTGAGGCCCAGTCACCCGGGAAGCAGGCCTTGGGCCTGAAGTGGTTGCATGTGCCCAACTGCTTTCGGCCTGTGTTTGGCCCGGTACCCGTATCCAGCCCAGGGCCAGCTTCACGTACATTCACACAGGTGGCCCAGGGCCTGGGTTCATTCAACCAACTGGCGCTGCACAACTGCCTGAATTTCCCTGAGTTGCGTGGTGGCCAGAAAAGGGCCCTGAGGGCCTCGTCGAGCCTGCCTTCACTTAGGGCGGCCGACGGGCTGCAAAAATGGGGGCCTTATGGGGCTCTTAGAGGCAGTGGCCTCGCATTCCCTCCTCCTTAGCTTCAACAGTCCTCTGAGAAGCTCAATCTTCGATCATAGGGCGCTTTCCTTTCTGCAGAGATCTCTCATATTGAGTTACAACCTNGGCGCTTTCCTTTCTGCAGAGATCTCTCATATTGAGTTACAACCTGAGGAGCGGTCTGCATGAGCTCTTCCCTGGTGAACCAGTGGTCCTCCTTTGGATCAGTGTGATGTCAGAACCGAACGCGGTACTGCAGCTTCGGTTTTGGAGGGCGTCCCCTGCCTGCTGGTCTTGATACCGGCAGCTCTCTGTGATCCACAATATCATCGATGTCCACCTCTCCGTCCATGGTTGGGGGCAGCATTGAGCGACGAGATGGAAATTGGTCAGTCTCATTGAAAGGTGCCAGCTTGGAGGCGTGAAAGACAGGGTAAGTACGAAGATGACCAGGAATCCGGATAACATATGATGGACCATCCGGATCTGTCCCGACGATGCCCAAGACTTCCCAAGGTCCAAAGTACTGAGGCATGAGTTTGCGGGATATACCGTACTCCTGTCCCAGTTCTGAAGACTTAACCCAGACTCTATCCCCAACCTAAAATGTAGAAGGCCGGCGGTGTCTGTTTTCAGACTCTATCATCGCGGCCTGTGCCTTCTGCATCTGTTCTACCGCCTAGTGCATCTTCTGTTCATAGCGGTAAGCAAACTCTAATGTACCGGGTGCAGCAGTTGACTGATTCTCAGGAAGAAGGAAATCCAAAGGGTAGTCTAGGCTTGAAAGTCAGTAGCAGACTGTTCGGGCTCACCCCAGTGGCGCTGTGTACCGCATTGTTATACAGATTGGCGATGAGAGCAAGCTTCTCATCCCAGTCCACCTGGTTGGGCTTGATGTAATGCCTCAACAGGTGTTGCACAACGCGGTTCAGTTGCTCAGCCTGACCGTTGGCCTCTGGGTGATTCCCAAAAGTCATTTGCAACTGAGTGCCCTGCTCTACACCAGCAGCCTTCCACAACTCACTGGTAAACCTGACATCCCTGTCACTAACAATGAACTTTGGTAGACCAAAGTCCCTGACCCAGTTCTCTTTAAACAATCTAATCACGTACTCCGTCTTTGCTGTTTCTGGCATGGCTACTAACCTAGCATACTTACTAAATCTATCCACGATGACGAAAATGTGACGCATTCCACTCTTGCTGGTGATCAGAGTATCCATGAAATCCATGGACAGACTCTCACCAGGCCGTTCCGGAATCGGAAGGGGCTTCAGAAGCCCAAGAGGAGCCTGAGTACGTGGCTTGTCCCGTTGACAAACTTGACAAGTCTCCACGTACAGTTGTGCATCTCGCATCATCGTGGGCCACCAGAACCGCTGCAGCAAGTTGGCTGCGGTCTTCTTATACCCAAAATGGCCGGTGGCATCATGACAGTCGCCTAAAAACAAACTACGCAAAGACTCGCTATTTGGAACACACAAGCGCTTATTCCCTGCCTTCTCTAGGAACAGCAAGCCATTGACCAACTCAAACTCGGCGGAAGTCTTCTTATCCTTTGCCTAAAGTCTGCATATGATCTCAGACATAAACTGGTCCTCGCGATAGGCTTCCACCAAAGACTGAGTAACATTGTCCGTCAGATCGAACTCGGTAATCAGCGCACCTGAGAAGTCCGGTCTCCGCGACAAGGCATCAACAACCTTGTTGTACTCCCTTTTTAGATACTGAGGGTCAAAGTCATATTGCTCAATGACTTCGATCCAACGTTTGAGAGCGTCAGAGAGTACCGAATGGGTTCTCATCCATCTCAGGGTCTGATGATCAGTCCTGAGGATGAAGAACTGCCCAAGGAGATAGTGTCTCCAATGGGTGAGAGCCTTGTACACCGCATAGAGTTCCTTCTCATAAGTGGACTTAGCCAACTTCTGAGACAACATTTTTTTGGACATGTATTCTACTGGCCTCAACTTTGGCCCCTCCTGTTGCGCGAGCACGGCGCCAATGCCATATTGGCTGGCATCCGTGGTTACTATGAACGGCTTATCAGGATCAAGAAGTTTCAAGACCTCATAGTGCGTCAATGCATGCTTCAGATGTCTGAAAGCAGCTTCGCACTCATCTGTCCACTCCCACGGGGTGTCAAGGCAGGTCAGATCAGTCAAAGGAGCGGCCACTATACTATAGTTCTTTACAAAAGTTCTGTAGTAGCCTGTCATCCCTAAGAAAGATCTCATCTCAGTCACAGACTGAGGACGTGGCCAATCACGAATGCTGGCCACCTTCGCGTCATCGGGGTTCAACCCTTCCGCGGAGATCTCATGACCCAAGTACAAGACACGGGTGCGGCCAAACTCGCACTTCTCACCGTTGATCTTGAACTTGTGCTGTCGCAGGAGACCGAGGACTTTGTCCAAGTGTGCAACATGTTCCTCGACAGTCTTACTAAAAATAAGTATGTCATGGAGGTACACGATGACAAACTTATCCAAGTAGTCATGGAATATCCGATTCATAGCGTGCTGAAAGGTGCCAGGAGCATTGCAAAGGCCAAAAGGCATCACCACAAACTCGTACAGACCGTACCTGGTCTGAAAAGTGGTTTTGTGTTGATCCTCGTGCCGGATTGCAATCTGATGGTACCCGGACTTCAGATCTATCTTGCTGAAGTACCGACACCCTTGCACTCTATCTAGCAGATCGTCGATGCGCGGTAGGGGCTCTCTGTTCTTCACAGTGATGGCATTGAGGCCCCTATAATCAATGCACATCCTAAGAGTACCCTCCTTCTTCTTAGGCACGAATAGAACTGGAGACACCCATAAGGAGAGACACTCGGCCGGATCCAGCCCTTCTCTACGAGTTCCTTGAGTTGGCGGCGAAGCTCATCAAGCTCGCCTGGAGACATCCCATAGATCCTACCCTTCGGGATACTAGATCCTGGGATAATCTCTATCGTGTGGACGACCTCCCTCTCAACAACCCCTGTCGGCTCTTCAAATAGATCAGGGTACTTAGCAACTGCTCCCTCTATCTCCGGCAACATTTTCACCGGCTCGCCTGCAGCAGAGACATAAACTAAGTACATACCCTCCTCCTAATTTTGCTTATAATAATTGTAGAACGCGGCAGCACACATGCACCCATAGGACTCAATCAGACTACTAGCTTTGAACTTATGTAATCTTGCGGTCCCTCCACCTGGCAAAGTGTGTTTGACCACTTTTCGGTCCTAGTCAAACTGAGGTTCTGCCACAGAGAGGTAGTACATAACTAACAACATGTCCATGGGGAGTTCATCGCTCACTAGGAACGAGACACGATGTCTCAAGTCCCCTCCCGCGTACGGGGAACAACACTCTACATCTTGGAGATAGTCGTTAACTACCATGCGCTGTTTGTTGGCACAGGTCGACTCCACAGGTCGACTCAGGCGCTGCACTCGCCCCTGTAAGCGCAGTCTCTCAACGCACGCTTCGGAGAGCGGCGTGCCGCGTCAACGTATAGTTGACTCGTCGCAGCCAGCCTCCGCACCATATGTTGACACTTTGGTTTGGCCCTTGGGACGAGTCAGCGGACAAGACGGCGCGACGGTCCAGCCCCATGGAGATCGAATCACGGGTTTTGGGCTGAACCGCCGCGTCTGCAAGGACCAGATTAGTAGGGCCCGGTCCGAACGGTAGTGAAAACGGACCAAGGGTTAGTGAGAAAAATAGAATTGACCACTTTGGACCGGACTTACCGCGTCGGGGAGAGTACGGCCCGAAATGGTCAAGGGGGAATACAGGATTGGGCCCCTTATTAACGATAAGAGGGGCGTTTTGTTTTCGAGAGCAAGGCCGACCCTTAGTATTCCAAAGTCGGGCCAGTTTTAGCCCGACACTAATTTTAGTACCAGTCTGTGTTATTTTTAGCGTAGGGCACTCTATTTTTAGCGCAGGCCTGAGTTATTTTTAGCGCAGGCTAAATATAGCACAGGCCTGCGCCATTTTTATCCCAAGCCCCGCGCTAATTTTAGCGCTGTCCCGCGCTAATTTTAGCACAGGACAGCGCTATATTTAGCGCAGGCCCATGCTATTTTTAACACGGGACTGACTGTTCGTGTCCCAAAGTCAGGACTGTCCCAGTCCCGTGCTAATTTTAGCGCAGTCCCGCGCTAATTTTAGCNTGCTATTTTTAACACGGGACTGACTGTTCGTGTCCCAAAGTCAGGACTGTCCCAGTCCCGTGCTAATTTTAGCGCAGTCCCGCGCTAATTTTAGCACAGGCCCGCGCTATATTTAGCGCAGGCCCGTGCTATTTTTAACACGGGACTGACTGTTCGTGTCCCAAAGTTGGGACTGTCCCAGTCCTGCACAATTTTTTTTATTTTTATTTTTTATTTTTTTTGGTGCGGAGTTTTTCATCCGCTAATTACAAATTTCTAGACATTTAGCGCAGTCCCGCGCTAAGTTTAGCACAGGCCCGCGCTATATTTAGCGCATGCCCGTGCTATTTTTAACACGGGACTGACTGTTCGTGTCCCAAAGTCGGGACTGTCCCAGTCCCGCGCTAATTTTAGCGCAGGCCGTGCTAATTTTAGCACAGGCCTGTGCTATTTTTAGCCCAAGGACTGCTGCACCTTGCCCGATCACCCGGCCTCTTCACTATAAAAGAGAGGCGAGCCACTTGAGAAGAGAGACAAGAGGCCCTCACTTGCGGGAATACGGAAGCGCTGGCGGAACGGCGAACTGGGGCTGCTGCGCTGGAGCAAGTAAGAGAAAGAGAAGGACCAAGGCAAGCAAGAGAGAGGTAAAGGGGTAGAGCAGCAAGGGGGAAGTAAGGTGGTCCTGGCTCTCACTAGGGTCATAGCCCCTCTCCCTTGCCTCCCCTCCTATCTCTCTCTCTGCTTCATTCTTTCCCTCTCTTCTTCTCCCCTCTCTTTGCTCGCTTCTGTTATTCCCCGTAGTCAGGCCGATCACTTATGGATAGACCCCCATTTTAATTTTATTTAATTTTATTTTATTTTATGATCGCACCCTTGCATTTTCGGTGTGCAGTATTACCGCATCAGAGTTACCGTATGCCCAAGCGCACCACGCTAGAGAGCATAGGGGTTGCCGTATGCCCAAGCGCACCGCGCCAGGGAGCATAGGGGTTTCTGTATGTCTGAGCGCACTGCGCTAGAGAATCGGACTGTTGTATGTCTGCGCGCACTGCGCTAGAGAATCGAAGGATTGTTGTTCGCTGCGCCAA